TTGGCTCTACCTCCAAAATGTCTCCCCATTGCCTACAACCCAGTCTTAGCTGCAGGCACATCTTGCCAGGACCTCCTAAGTGCCCTCCATCCTCCCGTTGTTATTTCCTACATCTCTTCCTTCACTCAGAAGCAAAAGTGATCTTTTAAAAATGGTAGGCCTGGTCATGCCTCTCCTTGCTTAATACCCTGCTGGCTTCCCAATCTCTTCATCTGAAGGCTGAAGGTCAAGGCCTCAATGATATCGAGTTCTTGTCCTCCTCTTCAATCTCATCTTGTCCATTTCTCCTCCTTATTCATTCCTTCATCTCCCCGCTATTGTGCGTTGGGGCATTGCCTTTGCTGGGCTAATTCTTTGTCACCATTCTGATCTTAGCTCAATGTCTCCCTCCAGAGAGGCCTCCTTTCATGGCTCTCTGGAAATAGTGCCCCTACTCCCCACATTCACTCTATCACATCAGCTTGTTTTGTTGCCTTTGCAGTACTTTGTTGCTGGAACTATTGGGATGCATCTTGCCTATTTGTTTCCTTGTTTATTGTCTGTCTCCTGTGCCCATCACTGGAACCCAGCCTCCATCACGGCAGAGATCTTAACTCTGTGTTCTTATTCACAGGTCTATCGATGGACAAATGAAATTCTTTCCAGATTGTTGCTAATGAACAAGGCTCTAGTGAACATTCTTGTACATACATCTTTGGGTAATTGAGTAAGAAATTCTGTGGGACAGATGTTTAGAAGTGCTATTTCTAGGTCTGAGATGATATATTTTAAAATTTGGTAGAGATAGCGAATTACTGTACCACTTTGCACTCCCATGGACTTTGAGAATGCCTTTCTCCAAGTCCTTGTCAACATTGGTTAATAGAAATCTTTTTCTTCTTTCTGGCCTATGTAATGAACAAAAACCAAGTATTTTGTTTCAGTTTGTATTTTCTTGATTATGTGAGGTCGAATATCTTTTCACGTGCTTTTTGATCGTTTGTACTTTTTCTTTTGGGTAAAAAACCCATTGCTGGTCCCGCCCCTTAATATAGTTCTGTTTGTGAGAAAGAAAAGTAGATAATGGGGAGGTGATTATGTGTCCCACATACCATTTGGCTACTTATTTTTGTCCTGGCTATTTCTTTCCATGGTAGGTGCAGCCTTAACTTTTCTATTTCTGTTATTGTGAAAATAGCATGTATACCTATAAAATTTTCCAAAAAAATTCTATGAAAAGATATAAAATAAAAAGTGATTTTCTTCCTATTACACTAAAGTAACCTTGTATACCTTTTCAAACAAATTTTTCATGTTTACATGCACATTCATTTATCATTCACATATTTGTCATTCATTCTTCTGAGAAATATTTATAAGTCACTTATATTTCTAACATTTATTGGGTATTTATCATATCTCTGGCATTGTACTAGGTATATTAAAAGAGGACATATACATATCTTTTATTTAAAATTTTTTTGGAAGTTGAATTTTTATTTTTTTACATTTTAAGATGCTTCTATAGTAGCACATACATATTTATCTCATTGTTTTTAATGTTCACTCATTATTCTATTTTTTATATGCCAGAATTCATTTAATCTGGTCCTTATTGATGGACATTTACATTGTTTCCTGTGTGTTTGCAATTACAACAATGCTATAGTGAATATCCTTGTAGATATATCTTTGCAGGCATGTACAAATATATCTGCAGGACAGAATCCTAAAATAGAATTGCATTTTAAGTTTGATAAACATTGCCAAATTGTCCTACAAAACTATGTTCCAATTCACACTCCTATCAGATGTGTGAGAATGTCCATTTCTCTACTTTATTTGCAACCTTAGATATTATGTCTTAAATTTTCACAAATGTAACTGGCAGAGAGTAGAACCCAGAGTTTCATTGTTTTATTTTGCATTTCTCTAATTAGGAGTGAAGCTGAGAATCTTTTTATATAATTATTGGTCATGTGTATTTTTTCTATGGTCTGTCCATTTTTCTTTTTTCTTTTATTAAATGATTTTTTATTTTTCAATTACAGTTGACATACAATATTATATTAGCCTCAGGTGTACAACATAGTGATTAGACCATCAAAATGTTCTCTGTATCTATGAGTTTGTTTCTGCTTTATTTGTTCATTTATTTCATTTTTTAGATTCCACATATGAATGAAATCATATGGTATTTGTCTTTCTCTGTCTGACTTATTTCACTTAGCATAATACCCTCTAGGTCCATCCATGTTGTTGCAGATGGCAAAACTTCATTCTTTTTTTTTTTTTTTTTATGACTGAGTAATATTCCATTGTATATATGTATCACTTTTTCTTTATTCATTCATCTATTGATGGACACTTAGGTTGCGTCCTTATCTTTGCTATTGTGATTAATGCTACAATGAACGTATGGATGCATATGCCTTTTTGAATTAGTGTTTTGGGTTTCTTTGGATAAATATCCAGAAGTGAAATTACTGGATCCTTCTTTGTCTCTTGTTATAACCTTTGTTTAAAGTCTATTTTGTCTGGTATAAGTCTTGCTACCCTAGATTTTTTTTCATTTTCATTTTTATGAAATAGCTTTTACTATCCCTTTGCTTTCAGTCTCTGTGTGTCTTTCTATCTGAAGTGAGTTTCTTATAGGCAATGTATTGTAAGGATCTTGTCACCCTATGTCTTTGTTTGGAGCATTTAATCCATTTACAATTAAAGTAACTGTTGATAGGTATGTAGTTATTGCCACTTTATTATTCATATTTTTGATCTTTTTAAATTCTTTTTCTTCTTAAAGAAGTATAGCATTTTTGGTTTGGTGGTGATGAACTCTTCTAGCTTTTTCTTGTCTGGGATGCTCTCTATATGTCCTTTTATTCTAAGTGATAGCTTTGCTAGATAGAGTAATCTTGGTTGTAGGTCCTAGCTTTTCATCTCTTTGAGTATTTTGTACCAGTCCCTTCTGGCCTGCAAAATTTCTGTTGAGAAATCAACTGACAGTTTTATGAGAGCTCCCTTGTAAGTAACTAACTGCTTTTCTCTTGCTGCTTTTAAGATTCTCTTTTTGTCTTTAACCTTTGGCATTTTAATTATAATGTGTCTTGGTGTGGTCCTCTTTGGGTTCATTTTGTTTGGGACTTTCTGTGCTTCCTGGGCTTGTATGTTTATTTCCTTTGTCAGGTTAGGGAAGTTGTCCATCATGATTTCTTTAAATAGATTTTCAATTCCTTGCTCTTTCTCTTCTCCTTCTGGTACTCCTATGATGCGAATGTTGGTACACTTGATGTTGTCTCAGAGGCTTCTTAAACAATCTTCATTTTTTAGGATTTTTTTTTTTCTTGTTGTTATTCTGATTGGATGTTTTCTGCTACCTTAGCTTGCTGGTTCAACCCTCGTTTTCATCTAATCTTCTAATATATTCATCACTTCAGTTATTATATTCTTTATTTCTGACTAGTTCCTTTTCATATTATCTATTTCCATTTTTATATTTCTATCTCTTTGTTGAAATTCTCACTGAGATCATTGAGCATCCTTATAACCAGGGCTTTGAACTCTGCAGCTGGTAGATTGCTTGTCTCTTTTTTGTTTAGTTCTTGTTCTGGAGCTTTATTCTGTTCTTTCATTTGGGACATGTTTCTTAGTCTCCTCTTTAGTCTACCTTCCTGTGTTTGTTTCTATATATTAGGTAGAGCTGCTATGTCTCCAAGTCTTAGTAGAGTAGCCTTATGTAGTGGGTGTCCTGTAGGGCTCAGTTTCTCTGGTCACCTGAATCGGGTGCTCCAGGTGTGTCCCTCATGTGGGTCATGTGTGCCCTCCTGTTGTAGTTGAGCCTTGGTTGTTTTGGCATGTCAATGGGAAGGATTGACCCTTAGGCTGATTGGTTGTGAGGACTGGCTGAGGTACAGGGTATGCCAGGCCAGATATGCTTATTTGGGGGTTGTGAACCTTTGAGAGATTTTAGGAAAGTTCTCAGCATAAGCCAAGACAGGCCATTTGTATGGAAAAGCCACTGGAAGTGGCTTGGGTGGGCCCACAAGATGGGTGCGGTGGGATCTCAAGGAATCATCATGGAGGGGCAAACCCTTTTAGCTAGGCTGATAGAGACTCGGATATGGTACTGCCTATGAATGCAGGTTGGGTGTGGGGAGGGCTCAACAAAGGAACAGTGGTTTCTGCTAGCACTTCTGTCTGTCTGGGAAAAAGCTGCCCCTCCAGCCCTTGCCCTGAAACCAGACAATTCTTTTCCTCCTCATATGTCCCTGTGCCTTTTGAGCTGCTGCCTCAGTGCTGGAGCTCAGAGCAAGTGACTCCATTATCGAGTAAGTTCATGGTTGGGCCCTTTAAGAGGAGTGCCTGAGACTCCAGCACCCACAGTCTCCTCAGGTTTTCACAGCCAGAATTTGTGGGGACTTTTATTCCTGGCTCTGGAACTCTGGGCTGGGAAGCCTGGTGTGGGGCTAGGACCCCTTGCTCTTCAGGGAGGACCTCTACAGACAAAATCCTTCCCAATTTTTAACTGCCATTCAGGGATGTGTCTCTGCCCCTCTTACCAGTCTCAATGTGGCTTCTTCTGTGATTCTTTAGTTATAGGACTTCTATTCAGCTAGACTATTCAGGTAATTCTCAATGGTAATTTTTCTGTAATTTTGATGTTGCATTAATTGTTTTTAATGCTTAGAGAAGCAACATTTCATAGTGGTAAGATGACAGATTCTGGAACTATATTGCCTCTTTCTCCATTTTTCATATTGAGTTATCTTTTAAAAAAATTGATTTGTGAATTCCATATAGTATGGATATTTAAGCTTTGTTTGTTATGTATCTTGCAAATATTTTCTCCTAAGATATTCTTACTCTTTTGTTACTGTTTATGGCATAGCTCCATCTTTCTGATGGTGAAAAACACTAATTTCTATGTAGACCACATTTCTTAATGTCTTTCTGCAGATTTCTCAATATATGTTTAGGTAGTTTTATTTTTTCTTTTCTTTATTTTTTTTCTTTTCAGCCAAGATTCTCAGGTGACCCCACCCTGGGAGACTACAGTTGAATCCTGACCTAGAGGTGAGGAGGCATCTTTCACTAGCCTTGCTGTTGCCTTTTCTCCTGTGTCAAAAGGTAATTTTATAATTGATTTGCATGTTTTCCTCTGAACAAAAGCATTATTTTTCATTATTTGTTTAAACTTTTAAGACTTCTTGTCTTTTTCTCACTTAAAAAGTTCAATTACCCAAAACATGCAGTGGGGTGTGGGCTGAGTGGGTGGAGTAGATGCGCCCTTCTCTTTTCAACCTGAATTGCTTCTGTATTTGATTTCCTCTGATGAAAGCAAGGGTTTATGTGCCTAAGCAATCTTGGAAACTGCAATTGTGGAATGAGGTCTTTATTTTCCAAAAGCTGAGAAACTCCAGGGGCTTCAAAGAGTGCATCCTTTTTATATTGTAATTGCTCCTTCTCCTCTTAACATGAAACCTCCTCGAAGCTCTATAGTAACACTGGATGTTCATGTGTGTTCCTGAGCAGATTTTGTTTAATAGGCCATCATGAAATAATTCTTTCTTTGGTGAAGGTACTCAGTGGTAAGATTCATTAGTATGTCTTACTTTTAGAGCAGCATTAACTCATGTTTGCTCAAATACGTGAGTGTTCCCATTTCAACGTATGTTTCTCAACATATCTATAAGGATTAATAATTTACCTGTAGAAGTCATGATGCTTTTGAGTGTAGTGTGGGGAACCCAACCCCAACCATGAGAATGATTATCTTTTTTTAAACAAGGATTTCAACGTAGGGCTATTTCAGGGTTGGTTAATTCAGCTGCTCAACAAGGATCAAGACTCTTTGTATCTTGCACATGTGGCTGCTGGGGTTTAAGGTCATGTGCAGATTCAACACTGTACAACATTTTTACTGCTGGTGGACTCACCATCAAATCTCTTTCAAGAGTGAAGAAAGTTTCTCTCAAAGCCCCCAACTCAATTCCCTCATGTTTTGTCAGAACTGAGAAACACACCTACATCTGACCACTCTCTGCCTAGATAATGGGATTAGTTTAATCAGTTACTACCTGTTCAAGATTTTACTCTGAGCTGGAGAGAGGGTCACTTTCATTTGAGTGGTGGTTACTTGGTTGAAATCAGGGAGAGTATTGTTAACAAGGAAGAAGGGATGCAGAAGCAACCAATAGTGATTGCTGCTTTTATTTTTAAAAATATGAAATTTATTGGGGCGACACTGGTTAATAAGACTATATAAGTTTCAAGTGTTTAATTCTATACTACATCATCTGTATATTGTATTGTGTGTTCACTGCCCAAAGCCAAGTCTTCTTCCATCACCATATATTTGACCCGCTATATGCTGCTTTTATTTTAATCAGTTAATTAATTTATTAATTTTACTTCCCCAGAATATAACACAATTATTGTTGGAGCAAATTAGTCCACTATTTTGAGGTTTTACAGCCCACTTCAAATGATTCTACACAAGAGAGAGTGTGCGAACTTTGTTGCTATTAACACAATAGCGTGTTAACACAATTGTGAGTTCAAGAGACTGCATAGTAGGTGTCAAAAAAATAAAACTGGAGATTTATTAGAGGCAGAAGTAGGTGTATAGCTCCTTTAGAATATTCTTACTCTTTCTTCTTTGAATATTTAACACACACTATCCAATTTCAGAATTTCATCTGTTTGGGTTTGCATCAGTCTAGTTAGGCAACAAAGCCACCATCTATTGACAATTTAAATTAATTAGTTAATTATTATTTTTTTATAATTGGTTGAAAGGAGTTTGGACATGAGATGGTGGCTGAATAGTGCTCAGCTGGTTTCAGATATTTTCTCTCTATTAAATGAAGCGACAGCTTTTGTTTGTTTGTTTGTTTCAGATGAAAATTCATAGGTTCCACATGTTGGCTCAAGAGAAAAATGGTGATGAGCAACTTGGATTGTGCTAACGGAGTATTACATACACTCATGAAAGTTGGCTCTGTGGCAGGTTAAGGTTGTGATGTATAGATTCCCATTCACAGAAATGAAGTTGCATGTGTTCTGACTAGAGCTGCTGCTGGGCTCTGAAGACACTGGAAGTCTAGTTAAGTCACACACAATGTGTATTGTTTGGAGCATGGCAAGGATAACAAGAAGCACCGTGCACTGGGTTGAGATGCATGTGGTGCCCTGGGAGTGCCGTAGGCACCAGAGAACATGAATTCTGCCATATGCAGCTCCAAGCTATTTGAGCTAAAATCAACCCTCTAAGATTTGGAACCCAGTCCAAATTTCCTCATGCCGTTATGCTGTGGAATGCAGGAAAGGAAAGAGGGGAGAAGGCTCACCCCTTGCTATGCTTTTATATCCTTTCAAATATCAGGACTGATTCTCCAAAGTAATTTTTCTTCATGCATCCAGACATTTGAACAATGCAACACTGAGTCAAGTCTTGAGTTTCCATAGCAAGTCATTCTAAAATTAAATACCATTTTCAGCCTTGGCAAATATTTTTTCCTCTACTTCAGAGCTCCAGAGACCTGGTGGTCCTATTCTGTTGGGGGGTGGGGCTGGAGGTACATACTCATGATGCAGGTCTCAGCAAACAAAGAATGGTGTGAGTGTGTGTGTGTGTGCGTGTGCGTGTGCGTGTGCATGTGCGAGAGAGAGAGAGAGAGAGAGAGAGAGAGAGAGAGAGACAGACAGACAGACAGACAGACAGACCTGTTTCTAAGAGAAGCTCTGGTAACAGGTTTCTGGGTAAATGAAAGTTGTATTGTCTTCCATCAGAGATGACTTGAAAATAAAGTGCTTTAATGCTAATACTGCAGATGTCTGCAGGAAACTCAGCACCACACTGAACACTGTAGTTAGATAGCTGTGCAAAAAAGTACATGAAGGAAAGGGCTAATGTGCAATACTTCTATTTAAGATAGAAGGAGGAAATAGAAATTGTGATAGCATGCTATTTCAAGTAATAATAGAAAGTACTTGATGTTTACATGGTGAATGGATCAATACTAATTCTGTAGTCAGTGCACATACAGTAGTTTGGATTATACAAGTGATAGATGCACTCAGTATAACTGAAATTTCCACCCTGCAACATTTATTTCTTGCTGCGTGTTAGATGGAATTTTCCACCCAACTATCTAGAAGGATTTGCATAAGAATGGTGATAGAGCAGTATTCTTTAATGATGTGCTTTTCTTTGTTAAACTTCAAAAATGTCTATGGTGCATGATGAGGTTTGGGTGAATTGCCAGGCTAATGCTTTTATATTTTCTTTAAAGAGCTTATCTTCACTGTGTTGTGGGAGTTACTTTATATTGTGGTTATAAAGGCAGTGGCAGTAAAGCCGAATTGTAGCAATCCCCAATAAATGCGTCCTCCTCCTCAAGAATTTGGTCCTGCTTAGGAGAGAATTTGGGAAGGCACTTGGCTGCCACTGGTTCAGCTGCAATGAGTCAGTTGGATCTGTTTTGTGTTCCTATACCTGGTTCTGCTCACCGAGAAGAGAGGATGCCATTCTCTAGCTCAAATAATGACTTCTTGTTAGCCTAAATCAACACCCATTCCTGTCTAAAGGGCTTGAGATCAGCCCAACTGGTGCTCTCATTGAGCACGAGCTGAATTATTCAGATCAGAGCCTGGGAGCAAATGTGGTTTGGAAAGTGACCTTTTTGTCCTCTCCACAAGAACCTAATGTTTACAATGTGAGGAGGAAAGAGCCTGGAATCTTGGGAATTCCAGGAATGCAGCCGCCAAGCAAAAGAAGCTTTCCTTCCCTGGTTGTGCAGCTCCAGGACTCACTCTCCAAATTCTGCTCCACAGCAAGGATTTCCAAATACAAAGGTAGAAACACAAAACCTCAAAGCTGGAGCCCAGAAAGGGTTGTCCAATAGAGGACTTCACATTAACCTCAGTTTCAATTGAACAAAGAATTTGAAAGCCAAGAATAGAAGGAAACTTAAGGTCACCTAATCCAACCCTTTGTCTAATATATGAATCTCTTTCCTGACACAGCTTCTCGGCTCAATGATCGCCAGTTGCAGCTTGAATACCTCCGAGGACAAACAGCTCACTTCCTCCAAACAGGAAGGACAACAGATGATGTTACATGGAGGGTTTACTATGTGTCATGCCTTGTGATAAATGCTTAAGATTCATGATCATACTTAATGCTCACAATGCCCTTATGAGATTAGTGCCATTATTGCCACCAGATGGGGAAACGGAGGCTCTATATGTTGCAGAAAAGGATTTAAGAGCCTCCTCTTAACCCCAGCACCCTCCTGCCCAGCTTGTCCCATCATTGGCAGCCCTGATTATTATTTTTCCGTCCTTTGGAGACACTTGGAATATACCCTGCCCCTTTTTGACATAACAACCCTTCAAATATTTGAGGCAACCTTCCTGTCCCTTTACCGGTGTCTCAATTTTCCTTTTTTCCTATTTCATGCAAACACGTCTTAGTTTGGTGAGTTCCTCTCCACCCATTTCCACTTATCGATACTCTCCCTCAAAACCTGTGTCTTATCAGACATTCTGAAGAGACCCTATAATTGTTGATTTCTTATGTTAGGAGACAGTGTGCTTTGTTCGTAACATCTAATCATGAAAGCATCTATTCTGGGTGCAAAGGGAGGCTTTCTTAAGAGCACATGGTGAATTTTTTTCACAACCCTTTTCAGGAAGAAGGCATTCAAAAAATCCAGGGCGTTAAAATAAGCCAGTGTTGAGCTTTGGCGTCATTGCTGGTGGGAAAGTCTATGCCAGAATGAAGGATGGAAGCCTTCTTGCATGGTGTTCATGGTTGCCCTGTGGGGTCCTGTGGGAGGAAGCTGCTTTTGGATCTAATTCAGCCTCTGACCTGGGTTCTATGTAGCTCACTGGCATGTCACAGTGTCCCTCTGTGTTAGCCTCCTAGCTTGTGAAAGGTGATCATGTTGTTGACAATCTGGTGTTGTATTTCTCAGAGTGAGTTCTGGTTAGAAATTGGCTGTCGTGTCACCTTGGGCAAATCACTCTACCTCTTTGTGTTTTAGCATTCTCCTCTGCAAGTACAGCGGTAAATTAATTACACAAGGAGGCCATCAGACCCAGGTGGCCGTAATGCCATGGAGGCCTACTAAACAAACCAAAATCTAAGCCTGTAAATGCCTCAACGTTACTAAGTCAAAATGCTAAGGACAACCAAGTACAAACAGCCAATTAGGCTTTAAGCTGTAGCTAATCAATAATTTCCCTACTTTGCTTCCACATCTCTATGCTCTATGAATGCCTCCCCCTGAGTTCCTCCGAGTGGACTGCTCCAAGCCACTTCCGGTTTGGCGCTGCCTGAGGGGAATATTTAATATGCCTTTTAGTAAGTTCTGACATCAGACCTGGAGAATTGAAAGAGGTACCCCACAGCCTCCAGGAGCGACGAGGAGAAGGGCGAAGGTACCTGTCGAGCGCCTTGTGCTCTCTGCTTTCTTGCGGCCTGTGGGGAAAGTCATGAGTAAGGCCTGCTCAGATTCTAGCTCTGAGGCTTTTGCATTATGAGCTTTCAGACTTTTATTCGAGCATTTCTTTGTTTAGACTGGGTCTGACTTAGGCGGACTGAGTTGGGGGGTCGAGCTGGGTCCGAGGTAAGCTGCACCCTGGGGGCCAGTGTGAATAAAAGTTTGTGTTAAGGCGCAACAACTAAAGGTAATCTTGAATTATAGTGGCTACCGTGGAGAACTTGGAGCTTAGATAAACTTATCCATTTACGATGTACCCTAGATTAAAAGGGGTCTCAGCCAAATACTCACTATAAAGGATAGAGGTAAAATTATTTTTGTCCTCTACAGTTTCTGGTGACCAGGAGGAGGCCCAGTGGGACACCCCACTTGCTCTGAAGTCTGCAAATGGCATCCTGGGAAAACTGGCAGAAGCCGGCAAAGGGTGAGAATTCTTATCAAAGTCAGCTCAACTAAATCTCTCTCTGTGGTGCCTGGTTGAGAGAGGAAGGAAAGTAAAATTTCATGTTGTTACCCCTCTCCCCACTTTTTTTCTTTTAAAATTCAGGTTAGCAGGCAAAAACATTGATTATTGATCCTTTCTCTCCCAGAGATGGCTTTTGCCTCTTGTTTGTCTCTTTCTTTTGGTTGTCTTTGGGAATGGCTCTCATGTTGAGAGGGTCGTATCTTTTGTACTCTCTTTGGGGATCCTTCTTGTGTCCATGGGGTTCTTCAATATTGTCAGGAATTTTTACTGTTTGTCTAGGCTGAAACCTGACAAGATATTTGAAAGGATTTTAAAAAGAGTATCTCTATGGTTAGAAGTTGGCCAAATTGAAAACTGATATTCAGAGCCTGATACAAAGCATTTTTGAGGCCTTCTCCCCTAAGCTAAAATGAAACTGTATCTAGAAGGAAAGAAAAACATTCTGAAGCCACTGTGGAAAGATTTACTAAAACATTCCAAAGAAACACAGCTCTAAGTCTGGGACATAGGAATCTTTTGATTTCCATCCTAGTTGAAGATCTTCCCCCTGATATAAAGAAGCAAGAGCAGAGTAATATAGTTGGGTGGGTGGGTCAGCGTCTTGATCTCATTTAGGTTGCAACCCAATTTTTTGAGGAATTAAAAACAATGGTACTTGTCTTACAAATCGAGTCTTTACAAGAACAGAAATGAGGCTCTGAAAACAATTCAGAGCCCACCTATTCTTTTTACCAATTCTAAAACCTCTCCTATTCCAACTAAAGTGGCATTCAGAGTGTCTCCCCAACCGTATGAGGGACTTTGTGATGGCCAGGTTGCATCATTGCAGGCCCGCAGAGACCCCCAGCATGGCACAACTCTCTGTTAAATAAGATCAGTGCAAGTTTGGTTGCCATTGAACAAAAGAAATTGATGAGAGATGACCACAATAAAGTAATTGCAAGTTTAAGACACAGACTTACTAAATCAAGGTTATTCTGTGTTAAAAAATACTCAACACTAGTAAATTGAAAAAAAAGGAAAACTATTTTTAAAGAAGGAATTTGTATTGCAGAATAGCAATTTTCTATAATCTGTGCTTTTCTTTAAATGAAAATCCCTTCTGATTCTGCAGCAAAGTTAGGACAGGGAAAGGGAGTGTAATACCTCTTTATTGGCTTAAAAGTATTTTGCCGAGTATTTACACTTAATATTTTTAAAGTTTTCATTTAACGTTGTGGAAAGAGTACTGGGCTGCGTTGGGAGATCCTGGTTCTGTGTGACTGCAGGGTAACCACGTTCCCTCTCTGGGTCTCCCATTCCTCCTGTGTTGGGGCTGGTGAAGGTGATTTGTAAGGTTGTCCCCAAGTCTGGATTTCAATCGTCAAAGCAGCTCAAGGCTGGGCAAGACGAGTCAATTTAGTTAACAATACTGGAGTCCTCATTAAGCGCTGGACCTGGTGCTGGGCATGGGGATGCAAACGTGGAGCTTCAGGCCAGTGCAGTTCCAGCTGCACTGGATTATACCCCTACATTGCCTCTTACTAGCTAGGGAATTGCAGTCCTGTTGTTTCTCTTCCGTGCCTCATTTTCCTCATAGGATTGTCGTGCTAATAAAATAAATGAGTACATGCTAGGGGATTTCTGTAGTGCCTGGCAGAGTGTGAACATTCAAATGATATTGGCTTTTATTACAATTATTATCAGTGGAAGAGGCAGACGATCCAATAATCACAAAAAGAAATATAACATTTCAAGTGTGTTACGTGTCCCGAGAGCATATATCAGGAGGATTTCTTTGGCCTTGGAAGTAGTGCTTAAGGGTAAGATCTGAAGGATGATAAGTTCACTAGTTGAAGGGGAGCGGAATAGAGTCAGGGAGAACATACGTGTAAACCTCCTATGGTGGGAAGAAGCATAGATTTCTGGGAACTTAAAGTAGGCCAGGGTGAAGGAGAACAAGAAGGAGGGAGAGAGGGAAGGTTGGAGGTGGGTATGGACCAGGCTGTGCTGGGCTCTGCCTGAGCTAAGGATTTGGAAAAACTGGTTTTGCGTGTGCCTCCTGGAGGTCAGAGTTCTTGGTTAGACCCAGTTAGGTTCTGATACCCTGAAGTGTTGTCCCACAGAGATTCCGCTTTCTACAGATTGGAACCCAGCAGAAACCAGCTTCTAAGGGACACTGGGAAACTGCATGTGATGAGTTGTGGCTCAGAAGGGTTGACATTATCTGGGCCATCATGCACTTGGGTCATGCTTTAGGGACCAAAGTCGCAAACTGTGGTCCGATCATTTTAATGTCCTCTTCAAGTTGTCTTATGAATGGGGTTGAAAGACCACACTGAATTCTTCCCTGTCTACAGGAAGACAAAGCTTCATGGGTCTTCATCTTTTGGGATCACAGTCACCATTTGAGAATCGGATGGAACCTGTGGCTTTTCTGTCTTGAGAGATGCATTTACACACTTAATTCCAAATTTGAGTGCATTTTTAAGTTGGGTTAATGGGTCTTCCAGAAACATAACCACGGTCCCAGGTTAAATATCCTTCCTGTGTGAGGTAATGCCCAGTGTTACAGATTCTCTCTCAGTACCTCCACCCCCTACCCCTCACTCCCGTCTAGCTCCTCCTTTCCTTTTCTATTGCTGTTGCCTCAGTTTTGGACCTTTATTACTTTTCCCCTAGACTATTAGAATTTCCTCTGAATCTGTCTCTCTGCATTTAGCTTATTACCCCTCCAACCAATTCTCCATATCACCTATGGAAAGAAATTTTATTGGGGGGTGGTGGGGGGGTTGAGGTAAAATAAATTGTAAATATTTATTTTCAGAATAAAGTAAATCAGATTTATTATAGATATTTCAAAAATACATACAAATTAAAACAAAATCCATTATCTCAGTACCCAGAGGCAATCAATGATACATTTTTTTCTAGTATTTTTCTGTGGAAAATTTCTTTTGTATAGTTGTAACCAAACTATATCTATCTTTTACATTCAAACGCTTTACTTAACACTTATTTTTCCTTTAGCCCAAATGCATATATGTATGAAAAATACCCAAGAGCAGAGATAATATAATAATGAACCTCCCCTCCCAAGTACCTACACCTAGCTTCAAAAGTTATCAGCTTTGTATCAGTGAACATTTAATGTGTAACAAACAGCCTCGAATTTAGAGCTTAAAACAACAACCATTGATTTAGTTCATAATTCTCTGGAGGAGTGATTCGGGCTGGGCTCACCTGTGTGGTTCTTTTTCTAGTCTTGGCTGGCCTCGGTCATGCATCTGTGTTTTGCTGCCACTTAGCTAGATGGCTCTGCTTCTGGGATTGTCTGGCTGACATGTGGGGCCATAAGAGGAACTGGGTCCGTGTATCTCTCATCATCCAGCAGCTTGTCCCTGGGCATCTTCACATCATGATGGAAGGTTTCCAGGCACAGGAAGAGGCAAGTGCCAATGGATAAGTACTTCTCAAGCGTCTGGCTGCATCTCATTTACTAATATTTAATTGCCAAAGCAAGTCATAAGGTCACTTCACACTCAAGGGGTGGAGAAATAGACTCTACCTCTTGACAAGAGAATCTGCAGCCTCATATTGTAAGGGCATGGGTATAGGCAGAAGAATTTTTGACCATTTTTTATAATCTACCACAAATATGTTGGTAATATTAACATTAGTAAATTATCATTTTTTTGATGGTATTGGTAACTTGTCATGAATATAATTTAGATGGCTGAGTAATGTGTCACCCAGTGGACATCCTGAACCTTGCGTGACCATTCTTCTATTGTTGGGTAGTGAGGTCGTTACCATTTTTCTGCCTTTATGAATAATGCTACAATGGATGCTTTGTGCATAAAGCTTTTTTTCTGGTTTTAGGATTATTTCCTCAGAGTAGTCACAAAAGTGATATTACTGTGTCAAACATTTTAGAGCTCTTAGTACACTTTGCCAAATTGCTTTCAAAAAGGATTGTATCAATTTACACTCCCACCAGTGTGTGTGAGAGTACCCCACAGGGATCCTTCTAAAATGCAAATCTGATTATCTCATGCCCAGTTTAAAAATGATCTCTGCTGCCTTCACAATAAAGACTAAACTTTGTAAGGCAAAACTATGTCTGCTACATGACTTTTGAATAACTATTTTAGCTTGATAAGACCTCGTATCCACGGGTCATAGAATCTAGTGAGGAAACAAGACTGAGTAGGCTCAGAACTGAGAGAAGTTTCGCTCATGCTGTCCTTGAATGCAGGTATCATTATTATAGAAGATGAAACTGAGGGTCAAAGAGTTCAGTATTTAAAGTGGAAACCTATTCATAGATTTCTATTTATGGCATTATCTATTTTAGCATCATAGAATCTTTGCAAAGGAATACACATACACAAGTTTTAAGTATATATTTAATCATTAATGTAAATAAATTATAACACATTTGTTTTGGTTAGAATTCTTTGGTTCTTGAAAACTAAAGATTGTGAGATTTGGAATGAGACAATCTGAGTTTGAATTTAGATTCTGTCATTTGCTGGAATTTTAACAAGAGTTAACATCTCTAAACCTCAGTTTTGTTATCTGTAAGATGTAGACAATAATGCTTATGTTTTAGGGATGACTCAACATATACATCGAATGTCTAGCGGAACCATTCAATACTAGCTATTATTATTGCTTGAGATGAATATAGAAGTAGAAAAGAAACATAAATGTAACCAAAATGAGGCGGCTCTGATTATCTAGGACTATAAATGACTTTTAACACCCATTACCATGGGTTGGAACCTGGTTCAGTCTATGAGCTGGAAATTTTGCTTTTTTTGAGGTTTCCTTTTCTTCTTTATTCTTGAGAATCCCCAGGTTCGTGAATCATTGGTTCTCCTTGATGCTCACTTCTGTCTCCTGCCCGAAAAGGGAGAACAGAAACCAACCAGGATATGTTCCTAGAGGTAGAGTTCCTCAACCAGTGGTCTCCA